TCGGCTTATACTTTCGCAATGCCTTTTGAAAAATATTTATTGCATTTTTGCATTTATGTAAAAATAGCTTTCGGACGAGTACAATAACGCTGTTACTTATCATCAGAAAAAGCTTTTTTTATATTTTATGATTATACATTGACATAGATAGGTGGGTCATATAATAAATTATATACTTACAATGTACATTAACTTGTATAGATTTAGATCTTGTTTTAGGGTTGGTATTTTTAATATTGGTAGCTTCACATATATAGTTTCCTTCCTGATTTCTTTTTATTTGAGTCAATACAATATCTTTGTAAGTTAGATGATGAAATTGGTCCGGTCCATTTATAATTACATTCATAACAATCAGTTAAACATGTTATAGTTTGATCTCTACCTTCTGTTATATTGATACTTGATACATCTGGTGAGAAAGTAAGTCTATCAGGACCATCTGAAATAATAACAATCAGTTAAACATGTTATAGTTTGATCTGTACCTTCTGTTATATTGATACTTGTAGTAAGTTCATCAGGACCATCTGAAATAATAAAATTCAGTTAAACATGTTTTGGTATTATATACTTACAATAAATCTGGACATTAAGTTGTTTTATAAGTTGTTTATTTAATACAGTATGTCTAACTGTACAGTTATATGAACCAGTTTGATCTCTAGTACTAAGTGATAAAGGGTTGTTTAGAATTGTTGTTGAACTATCTTTAGACCAGGTGATGTTACAATCTGGTTTACAATCAGCTAAACAGTTAACATTCTGACTTTTTCCTTCTATAACATCTATATTATCACTAGTAGGGTTAAATCTTATATTCTCTGGACCATCTGTAAAATTATATAAGTATGTTGAATTGACACAAATACTTCGACATAATCCGACATTTGGTTTGTTTACATTTGATAAAAAATGTATCTAAATCTGGGGGTAGTATCTTAGATTTTTAAATGTAAAGACGTTATTATTTGTACGATTATTAAAGATGTAATTTCTTATGGCTAGTTACTTATTAGTAATGCCTAATTCAATTTTTGAATACTTATCATTTGGAGGCTAAACTGAATATTTATTTAAAAACAATAAACATTATTTTGTGCGCCCAAATCTAAATGAGAAGTATTAAACTGTCACAAGTACAGTGAAATCAATCTTTGTTGTACGAATTCAACATTAATTTGTCTATTTAAGAAATGTTTTGAAATAAATTGCCATGAAAATAAACTTACAATAAACTGATACATTAGTTGATCCTTGTCCACCAGAATTACCTCTACAAGACCATGTTGTATCATCTTGTATATTTATATTACTTATATTGAGATATAGTTGTTTGTTGTTATTATTTATACATTCACATTTATATCTATTATCTATTGGTGTAGTACTCTGACAAACTCCAGAGAATATACTACATAAAACAATATTGTTTCTCCGGAAATCTACAAGACTAGGGGAATCTGTAACAGTACATTGTAATGTATAATTTTCACCTAACACTGCATAACTTTCAGGAACTCCTCTTATAGTATATTGACCTGTAAAGAATATGGTAATTAAAGAACTTGTAGCTATTTTCAATATAAATATCATTCTATCAGTTAATTCTGAATTCAACTATTTTACATAAAACTGCCAATCTAAGTTTTAAGATATAAAATAATATAAGCCAGCTGACATCACATTGCTGTAAGTAGAAACTTGATATTTTGTTGAATATTTTAGTTTGAACCAATCATTCTTCCTCAATATAAAATCCCTATAGATTAGTTTATTTTGGGACATAAAATCTACAATGGGAAAAAAGGCAACTATCTATCAAATGATTTTATCCATGTAATATATATATATAAAGGGTATATGGTCTAAATATTTTGAAGGTAAAACTAGAAGTCAAATATCTATATAAAGAAATGTCAAAGTTGACAGTGCGATTCGATATATCATATGATATTAAATGCGTTAAGCGTAAGTTGAATATAACTATTATTTCATTATCTACACGAAGACTTGTCTTATAGCTGTATATCATGATAAATTAATACAATATAAATACATCACTTACCTGTAATTAGTACTGGTAAATAAACTATAACTATTAATATACATTTATACTCCATGTTATTGAATAATATTCAACAAGACGATCTTGTCATACATGTGGCCTACTAGTGTATAGTTTTTTTTATTGTAAGGCTGTTATTTAATGACCCTTTTAAACATAAAAACACCTATACATACTATTATATGATTGTATAATATGACCTAAATACATACTACAATATTGGAGCAATGTCTAGAAGGTATCACGTCAGAGAGGGTCTTGAGAAACACTGGGATCTCGGTTTCAATATTTTTACCGTAATCACATCAGAAAGGGTTCTCGTGAGAAACACCGGAATCTCCGTTACAAACTTTTTGGACACCCTGCACCCCAATAAATTACTACCTCCTGTTATCCCCACCAAAGAATAACTCAAGAGCTTAATAAAAGACTACCAGAGTGCAGTTGGTAATTCAAGGCAAATACCAAAATCCTTAAAATGTTAGGCAAATTTGACAAAAGGTTTGGTTATCAGTAGAATAGTTCCGTTAAAAACTGACTCATGGGTCTTTCGTGTACTTCTCTGGTGACCCTGAGGTGCTTGTAACCCATGTTACATCAAAGCTTGAACAACACAAAAAAACCGAGAATATCACCTTCCGGTGCCACCAACAGAATCCATCATTAACAACTACATGGTAATATTTCGTTCTTTAGAAGGCTCAAAAGGTGCGTTTAACCCGTACTCAGTAAAACCCATCACAGTAGTGTTGCACTATGGAATTTGTTGTGCCATCACCTTTCGCAATTGTTCTGTTTCAATGTGAATTCAAAGTGAATTCTGACTTCACTAGAAACTGTCTCATATTCCTTTATAACAAATAATAAATAAAGTTGTCTCCCATTATAAAGAAACTATTGAATGTTGTCTAATCTTTATTATCATGTAGATAATTTTGCATCAAATTTGAATCTTTAACCAGCAGTCCACTATTTTTGGGTAGAATAAATAGAAACTTCAAAGGCAGACTTACAGTCTTCATAACTACTTACACTACCTCAAAATAATGTGGACTCTTTGTGTTTATGCTTTAACTCAAATCAGCATGTGTACAAGTATCTTTAAACGACACATCATATAAACTATCAATATAAACAAAAGAGTAAACATAAAAAATGACAGAAAATAACATAACAGAAACAAATCATAAATACACTAAAATTCAGGACTGGAAAATATATCAGTTGCATATGAATAGTAACAAAGCATAAACTAGTTATATATAAATATATTAATTTAACAGTTGCCACAGTAAGAGCATATACATAAATAATAACAGAAATGTTTTGAATATAAGAATTTCATATTTTTATTTAGAGCATATAAATATAATTACACAATTGTAAGTAATACCGAATACATATCAAGTATCAGAAAGAATAAAGGGTTACTATTGGATTTTACTAGTGTATCAGATATTACAGTCTGTTATATATAATGGGTTAGTATTAAATATTACTAGTACATTATGAGATATTACAGTCTGTTATATATAATGTGTTGGTATGGGATATTACTAGTATTGTATCAGATATTACAGTCTGTTAATCGTTATATTTAATGTGTTTGTATTGAATATTACTAGTACAATAATAATAATAATATAAAGTCTTTCTTGAAATCTAGTTACAAATAACATATATACAGATAGAAACATTAGAATGATATCATCTGGAAAGGTGAAAAATTATAATTATAAGAGCGAGTAAATAATTTTTTTCAAAAAATTTAATTCCAACTGGGTCCCCATTTCTTTCTTTAGTACATCTTTATAACGGCATAATTCAGAATTCTAAAGTGAACTGTATTTAAACGTTCTTTTCATTGCTTCCAGACGGCATTTTGGAATGTGCAAAGAATTGTTGATTTCTGAACAGATGTTACAGTAAGAAGATATACATAAAAAATAACAGAGAGAAAATGTGTTTGATTTTGGATTTTCTGATATTGGATATTACTAGTTCTGTATCAGATATTACAGTCTGTTATATACATCTTTATTTCCTCCAAATTGAAGATTCATAATACATATATATATAAATAAATAAAAGTGGATATTTACAATAGATGGTGGTTAAACAAACTAATTACAATAGGCCTAGACTGATAGTTGTCATATAGGAAATACCGATCAGAACACACTGGAAATTACCATAATATTAATTCACATGCAACTCGGTAGTCAAACGAGAGAATACAGAGCTGAAATCGGTTGTCAGTTAGTCAAGATGAAACAGGATTTGGAGAGACGTTCATTAAACTAAAGAGCCCTTAATTGTTCGCGATGGCTTGCATTTCTTAAAACTTCAGTATTGGATATTACTAGTTCCGAATCAGATATTACAGTTTGTTATACTTAATGCGTTAAAATTGGATATTACTAGTACTGTATCAGATATTACAGTTTGTTATACTTAATGTGTTGGTATGGGAAAATACTACTACAGAATCAGATATTACGGTCTATATCAGATGTTACAGTATGTTATATTTAATTTCTTCTCATATTTTCATATTCTTTTGCATCTCCAGAATTATGTTGATTGTTATCGTTAACTTCAGAACGAGTATTTAAATCTTCATACATTCTATCTGTAGGGAAGAAAAGCGTGCTTAGAAACTAATAACTTAATATAAAAATTACAACCTTTGGGCTTTGAAATTCGGCGATTCTCGGCAGTTTCCACCGTAAAGTTGAAGAACACTATCAGAAATTGAACGATGGACCGTTTTGGGTATAGTATTGATAGTCATACTGAATGTGTAAATTGTGATAAATTCGTGATAATATGTGATAATTTACCTTCAGGATTTCTATTGGAAAAGCGTTGCATAACTGAAAAGTAAGAATATATCATAAGTAATTCGAACAAATAAGTTT